ATATAGATGCAAAGATCCTTAAAACAAAAGTAGCAAATTGAATCCAACAATATATAAAAAAGACTAACATCATAACAAAGTGGGGTTTATCCCAGGAATGCAAAGATGGTTAACCTTTTGAAAACCATTCAAAGTAATTCACCATATTAACAGAATAAAGGAGAAAAATCATATGATCATCTCAATAGATGCAGAAAAAGTATTCAACAGGATTCAATATTTTATGATAAAAAAAAACTTAGGAAACTAGGAATATGGGGGAATTCTACCCTCTATTTGATAAAGGGCATCTACTGAAAAATCTACAGACAACATTGTATTCAATTGTGAAAGACTGAATGCTTTCCTCCTAAGATTGGGAAAAAGGCAGGGATGTTCATTTCACCATTTTTATTCAGTGTTGTACTAGAATACCTAGCCAGTGAAATAAGGCAAGAAAAAAAAAGGCACACAGTTTGGAAAAGAGGAAATAAAACTGTCTCTATTAGCAGACGACATGATTGCTACATAGATCATTCTAAGAAACATACAAAACAACCACTAGAACTATAAGAGAATTTAGCAAGGTCATAGGATACTAAGTCAATGTACAAAATCAATTGTATTTCTCATTATAGCTACAAAGAATTGGAAAATGAAATAATTCCATTTATAATAGCATAAAAACCATAAAATATTTAGAAATAAATTTAACAAAAGATGTAGAAGACCTCCATGCTGAAAACCACAAATTAAAAAAAGATTAAAATAAATGGGGTGGTGTGCCATGTTTGTGAATTGTGAGACTCAAGGTTGTTAAGATGTTCATTCTCTATAAGCTCTTTTACAGAAATTAACAGGCTGATTTAAAAAATAACCTTTTTATTTTGGGATAATTTTAGGTTTACAGAAAAGTTGTCAAAATAGTACAGAAAGTTTCTATATACCCCTCACCCAGTTTCCCATAATGTTAACATCTTACATTACTATGGTACATTTGTCAAAACTAAGAAATCAACCCTATACATTACTTTTACTTTATTTGGATTTCACTGGTATTTCTCTGATGTCTTTTTTCTGTTCTAGGATCCAATGCAGAATACCACATTGCATTTAGTTGTCATGTCTCCTCAGTCTACTTGGATCTGTGACAGTTTCTCAGTGTTTCCTTGTTTTTTGTTTATTTTGTTTTGTTTTTATGATCTTGACAGTTTTGAGGAGTAGTGGTCAAGTATTTCATAGAATGACCCTCAGTTTGGGTTTGCCTAATGTTTTTCTCACGCTTAGACTGGGATTATGAGTTTTGAGGAAGAATGCCACAGTGGTAAAGTACCTCCCTCATCACATACCAGGGATACATGCTATCAACATGATTTATCACTGGTGATGTTAACCTTGATCACTCAGTTCAACAAGCTGATTTTAAAATTTATGTGGAAATATAGAGGATCTAGAATAGCAAAACAATTTTGAAAAATAAGAGCAAAGCTGAAGGATTTACACTACCTGACTTCAAGTCTTACTATAAAGTTACAGTAATCAAGACAGTGTGGAATTGACAGAAGATAGACAAATAAATCACTGGAACAGAATAGAAAGTTCAGAAAAAGACGCACTTATCTGGTCAATCAATTTTCAACAAAGATGTGAAAACAGTTCAATGGGGAATTGTGTTTTCATCAAATGGCACTGGAACATCTGGGTGTCCAGTTGGAAAAAAAAAGAGATTGAGAAAGTTGCCTAAGTTTACCAAGTTTGTGAGTGGCAGGGAAAGGTATCCCAAGCTAGACTTTCTGGCTAACATGTACTATAAATTGTGAACATGAATTTATAGTCAACACATTTAGGCCACAATATTTTTCTGAATCAAATTCAGTTTGAAGGTATGCTTTAAAAAATGCCAATGTCATGAAAGAAAAAGAAAAGCTGAAGAAATGTACCTGATTAAAGGAGACTAAGAAAACATAAATAAATGCAATACATGATCCTGGATTGGATCCTGGATCACACAGAAACGCCAAAATTCCACGAAGGACGTTAGTGCAATATTTGGAAAATAACATGGACAGCATGTTAGATAATAGTTTTGTATGAATGTTATATTCCCTGAATTTGAAAATCATAGTGGAGTTATGTAGGAGTATGTTCTTATTCTTAGAAGATACAGAATTATTTGGAGGTAAAGAGCCCTGGTGTCCGGAACTTATTCTGAAATGGTTTAACATTATTAACAATAAAAAATATATATGGGAGAAATCAAACGTGGAAAAATATTAACAATTGGTAGATCTAAGTTAAAAGTATATGGGAGTTCATTCTATTATTCTTTCAATTTACCTGTTTGAAATTCTAAAAAAGATATTTAAATATTAATTAAAAAATACTTTAATCTGATCCTAATTCCACTTGCCATGATAGTGGCAAATTCAGTCTCAGCCATTTTGGGGGGTGTTCCTCTCCTCCTCCCCAGGGCTTTTACATAGTGCAAAACATTCAGGAAGGGCCCTCTAGCCTTCAGTCCACATTGGTTACTTACCAAAAGACCTGTTGCAGAGCTGACAGCCTCTGCACGGGGGCTGAAGTTATGTCTGCTAGTGGGGAGCCCTGGCACTGAGGGTTCAATGTCCCTGCATGAACCACGCAGCCCTTCCTCTCTGAGGTCCTGTCACCTGTCCAGGTCCTTTGAGGAAGCTTGTGGGACCCCAGCTACTGGAGGAATCCCAAACCACTTTCCTCTTCCCAGTCTGAGAGAGCCTGCTTTTGCTTTTGTGGTACTCCAAACATATTTCTCCCACTCCTCGCTTTGCTGAAAGGTTCTTTCATGCTATCCTCTTAGAGTCTTTAAAAACACTATTGGACTCAGTGTCCTAGAGGCAGAGGTAGAGAAGGAAATGCTGCATAATTTTACGAATTCACTGTATGAGAGATAAAGATATATCTAATATGCTTCAAAAAATGTTCACTGTTTCCCAAAGGTATGCACAGATCACCTGCATCAGAGTCATCCAAAATACTTGCTAAAAACGTTGATTCCTGGTTCTATATCCAGACCCATTGGACCTGAATCTCTGAAGGTGGGGCTGGGAATGTGCTTTTTTTTTTTAGTGTCTTAAAACAACGTTTTATTATTTCTCATGATTCTGTGGGTTGACTAGGCAGTTCTGCTGATTGAGGCTGGACTCATGTGTTTGCATTCAGCTGACAAGTTGATTAAGGAGTGGGCTCAGTTGAGACAGCTTAAATGGCTGTGTTGAATCCCAGGCTTCACAGCACCATGATCTCGGGGTAGTGTTCTAAAATGGTGAAGGCCTCTTGAGGTCTGGACTTCATAACTTGCACAGCACCACTTCTGCCACAATCTATTGGTCAAAATAAGCAACAAGGCAAGCCAATATTCAAGGTAAGGAAGAGACTCTGTGTCTGGATGGGAGGGAATCTGCATTTTAATATAGCCTCCTCAGGTGACTCATGCATATCGTGTTAAGTGTGAATTCTTCATTGAACAAATATATATTGAGAGCTGTGTCCCATTGCATTTGGTACAAATTGCATTTCTAGCACTTGAATAAATTATATATATATGTAAATATTTTTGTTTCTTTCAGAGGGTTTATTTCTTTCTTCTGTTACCTTTCTATTCCCAGAGCCTATCAGTAAATGTTCAGTAAATATCTCTGAAATGAATGCAGATATTTGAATCTAGAGTTTGTGGAATATCCTAAGAATCATATGGGATTGTTCTTATAGTTTCAGTCTAATTAGGGAGGTAAGATATGGAAAGTTAAAATTTATAGATACAGGGGATTTCCTGAAGTAATATGCTTAGGTATAAGGAGATGGAATCACTGGAGCTCAGAATGGTAGGCGAGTTTGTGAAAGAGAATTTGAGGAGGAGCTTGAAAGATGAGTAGGCATTGGAAGGAAGAGGGTATCTTAAGTGGGTGGACCCGGTATGACCACAGATGTGGGTTTATTACCAGCAGGTTTACGGGTCAGGGCTGGTGCACAAGTCTTATGAAAGGGAATGTTGGAAAATATTAGTGAAAGAAGTTGGGGATGGATTGTGCACAGTCTGGGAGAGTGGCATGATGAAAATGACATTATACCATGATCAATCTGTCAGTTGTAATGGCAGTTAAAAATGAGTAGCTCAAAATACTGCACATTAACCAAATTTGGAATTCTAAATGCTGGGACCTCTAGTCGGGGACAGTTGAAGTGAATTCTATCTTAGAACATAAAAAAACGAAATAGTGTAGATGTGTCCTTATCACCAAAGAATTCCTTTAAAAATCAGATTCCCTGCCCCCAGCTTTATTGAGATATAATTGACATATAATAAAATCAGATTCTTGGTAGTGACAGAAATTTGGAATACTCCACACCTTACCCCCAATCGCTGTCCCAAGGCCTCGGGCCAGTGGCTCCGCCCTTTCTAACATGGGCTGTCATTTATGTATTGATTACTATGTGCCAAGCGCTCTGCGGATATATTTAATCGGCCAAACTTCTCTATAAGGTAGAGGTTATCCTGCCCGTTTTACTGGTGAGGAAACTGAGGCTCAGATGGACGGGATACGCCAGGTCACAGCCTGGAGGCTGCAAAAGCAAAGACGTAAACCTGGAGCTGGAATACAGGCCGCGCAAGAGCTGAGGGGACACGAGCTTCGCGTGACTCAGGAGGGATCCAAGGCGAAGGGAAGGTTAATGGAAAAATGGAGACTCGGCCCCTCCTTCCAGGACTCTGCAGGCGCGTACGACGAGTGAACGGGAACCCGCTCCTGCATGACACCTGTCAAAACGTGTCCATTAGGCGCCTTTCCAAAATCACGGTATCTGATTGGCGAGATTGCAAGGAATGGACGATCCTGATTGGTTAGTCGGACCTCGAACCAGGTCTACGCCCCGAAGATCGGGCGAGGAGTGGGCGGGGTTTAAAAGTGAATCCCTCGTCTGATTGGTGAAAAGAAAACGAACCAGGAACTATTCCGACGAGCGACTGGCTGTTGCCAGGAACCTGCCGACGGCCTTCTGGGCCATGGTTACGGAAGCCGGGGAGGGCTGAGTGCAAGGTCTACGTCTAGGAAGTTAGCGGCGGAAACTCGGAAAGCGGTGGAGAACAGGTATCTTAGGCCCAATGGCGGCTGTGGAGGCAAGCGGCAGCGATGGGAAAGGGCAAGGAGTGGAGTCCTGCGTCACCTATTACCGATTGGAGGAGGTGGCGAAGCGCAACTCCTCGGAGGAGATATGGCTGGTGATCCACGGACGAGTCTACGATATCACTCGCTTCCTTAACGAGGTGGGGCCGGGGAGGTGGGCGGCCCCTGGGATCTTGGGGGTGGTGAGGGGTGGTGCGGCCCGGAAAGGCTGCTAGCGGTGTGTGTAGGAGGGATATGAGGCGTGGCTGAGGGCGATAAGGCGTACGGAAGGGACCGCGACCCTCCGAGAGGGAAACTGGGAGCAGCGCGCGTGGTGTGGTGGGGGCTCGTATATGCAGGCATTTCTAGCTAGCACCAGAATTTAGCGCTTTCATGTGTTATTTATCATGTATTGAGCATTTACTGTGTGCTAGGCTAAACTCTGAACTCTAAGCCATCATTATCCCCATTTTACAGAAAGAGAAACTGAGCCTCAGAGAGACTGAGGACTCTCAAGGTCACACACTTAACAGCCTAGAGCCCTTGGAACCTAGGTCTGAAGTCCTCCACACCTGTGGTCTTTCCACTATGCCTTCTGAAGTAATACCATTTTCAGTTTTTATTTTCTTGAGAAGCTGAGATTACCATGCCCACCCCCCCATTCTGCTGCCTTTTTCCTTTTTTTTTTTTTTTTTTTT